CATGATTAAACTGTCACTAGCCACCAGTTGTGCCCATTACCTGATGGTGTTATTTCCAATCAAACCACTTTTAGTTACTGATTATTATTTACAATACTTATTCTAAAGGGACTAGCCACTCTTCTGAATAATTTTCTTCCTTAGAGGTCTCTTCAAAGCTGGTTGATAATAAGATGATTCACAGGTTCCCTATTTTGTATAGAGTTTTTGTTTCCCATCGCTCCTTCATCAGCTTCTCTGTTTGCTGTAGAAAAATTTCCCACACTGTTTGTTTTACCTGAAGGTTGAGAACCTCCATTTATACCACTGTGTTTACATACTGTAACAAAATTACACAAGATAACAGTAGAAGGAATCTCATATGGCACTGGACGTCTTTATGTGGGAGTCAGAATAAAAGGAACAAACCTGTTCCAGTGATTCCTGCTACGTCTTTTTTACGTCTTCCTGTCCAAACCCATTATGACCACTGTTGCTGTTGCAATACCCTTTAGCCTGAAACCAAACCATTTCAATGGGATTAAGGTGGCAATTGTATGCTGGTAGCAGTAAAACCTGATGCCCATGTTTTTCAATATATTCATCAATTTTAAACTAGTCATAAGAATATTATGTAACAAATGTTTATGATTATTATTAGACTAACTTCCTCCATAACATGAAAAAAATTAAGTATTTCTCATACTGGTATTTACACAGCAAAATATTCACACTGGCGGGTATATTTACAGGAACTTAAATGATTCTGAGGGGACAGATATACAATTCCTTATGTACGGCCACATTTTCATGTCATGCTGTTGAGTGAAGGAGAGGACAACCCTATCCTATACATAACAATAGTCTGTTAAGAGGTGAAACTACTGTTAATGAGATTGTTGGTGTTTTGGCAGTGGCAAGATTCAGTAACTGGGCTTTGGAAGATTACTCTGCTAAGAGAATTCCCTTCTCTTTCAGCCAAGCAATTACCTCATCCTTTCTCCAGCTGTGTTGGAGGTCTTTCCCAAGAACACTGTGATAAGCAGAATTGTGTATTACGGCAACTGAAGGCCTTCTACATTTGGCAGAACCTGAGTCAGCAGCCAAAGCTCAAAATTCTCCCCATTCATCGAATCATGCTAGTGTCTAGATGGCTTATGGAAACCGAAGTTTCATCATTGAGTTAACCAAAGCCCTGAGCCGGTCCCGGCGACAACGAATGCAGCTAAACATTGTAATACGTCCCGAACTAACTGCAATATTGACTGGACATGGCAAAAACAAATCATATCTACACAGGTTTGGGATCATTGACGACCCAACATGCTCATGTCTGAAAGCAGCACAAACAGTGGATCACCTCATCTATGACTGCGAAAAACTACAACAACCAAGGCGCAAATTAATAGATGCAATAGGTGGCACATGGCCAGTGTTACATGAAGCACTTGTTCAAAAATATTTAGGTTATTTTAATACATTCACTAAATCCATAGATTATATTGCAGTTTATCACAGGAACATAGGTACAAACGGTGGCAATGAATCACGATATTACAATTGTGTAATCTGTTAACGTGTTATACATTAATGCATGTAATATTACAATCTTGTAATGGGGCATGCTGAATGAATGAATAAATAAATAAAATAAATTCCCTGGGCCCTAACCATATAATATACTTGATAACTGTTTAACATCAACTTGAAGTACTAAGAATTCTACTAAAATATATCGCAATTTATATGATAGGTGTTTTAATTAAGTCACATATAAGCATTTGGTGTGATATATTCTATTAGACATATCTTAATTTAATCTGATTTAATCCGACATTTTTCCATGTTGTGTTTCTTTATTTAATAGCATGAACCTTGCCTCTTACACATTTGCTATGAATCAGCTGTCTGATTCCGCCATTGTAGAAATTATCACACCACTTTCTTTCTACCACTTCCTCTTCTCTTCTGAGGTGTACCTAAAATTAAATGTTTAAAAACAAACCTGTATTTATCGCGACCAACATATTTATGTCAAAATTCTTTATCACCGATGCCCATAAATGCAAAAGTGTTTTACACACACGTGCACACATACATTATAGATACTAAAACAATATCTGTTGATAACAAAGCCTTTTCTTACCTGATGAACTGTAAGTTTCAATTCCTGTCGGGTCCACCTGACCGTGTTTGGGCTAATATTTAAGCAGGCACAAACACGTTGTGTTATCGCTGTGTGTGGTACTATTGGCTACTTAACTTTTATTTTAAAAGTTTTTTCTTGGAGAAAGAATGTGCATCTCTAATAGCCTTCATAAATTGAGAATTCCCATATAGGTGCATTTTAGCTATGAAAATCAGGACACGTGAGTTACCTACAATTAAGATGGGTGCCAGACAAAAAGTGATAGTGGAACCACGGTTCCGGAGATTTGACGTAAATACGTCTATACGGAAAGGAAGTTCATATATTGGCATTATTCTAAATATTTCCTTTATACATGCTTTACAATTGAGATAAGTTTGATTAAGACATTGCTTATTCAACTTCAATTAGTTACGCTTAAAATGGGTCTGTGGTAGCTGAATGTAATGTTTTATATGGAACAACAATGCTAAGTAAACAGATGACGTTTCCTAGGTAACAATAATGCCGAGTAAACAGATGACGTTTCCTAGGTAACAATAATGCCGAGTAAACAGATGACGTTTCCTAGGTAACAACAATGCTGAGTAAACAGATGAGGTTTCCTAGGTAACATAACAATGAAGTTACACTTTTTCGTTTCCCTTTTTCGTAACACATTTTTGCCGAATGACCCTTCCTTATAGACGTATTTACGTCAAAACATATTTCTGCTGCGTCGATATTTGCGTTATAAATAGTACACTACAATAAATAACGTTTTGAATCCTGTATTTAACATTAGAAAAATATTAAAATCATTCATGAAAGGTCATGAAACAAATATAATTACTTCAGTGTACGAACTATTTTCCCTAGCTGTCCTACTCTCTGAAATGGCAGCCTTTACTTCCACATTAGGGAATAGAAGACGACAGCATTGTTGCTGCCAGGATAAGAGAGAGAAAATTGTGCTATGTTCATGAGAAAGTAAGAGAAATTAGATACACGTCTTTTTTCTTTAATCGTGACTACTTACAAGAGATTCCCTTATATGGAAATGTTTTCATTGAACGATATTATTTTCAGATATAATTGCGTGTGGTTTCGTAAGGGTTGGTATGAAATTGTTAAACACAGTCATACTAGTAACCAGGAAAGCCATACGGGAGATCTTGTTGAACATACAGAACTTTACTTCCACAAGGTTGGCTGCGGAAGGTGCTGGGTTGCCACCTTCGTATTTTAGACAGAGTTTATGTGATCTGTGCAGGGTATACACAAAAGAATGGTGCGGTTTCAAAAGGTAATAAAAAAATTATTTTTCATCTTACACGGGCACAACATACACCGTCAGCGGCGGCAACTGTCCAAGTTTCTCATACGTTAATTACAATCCTTCAATGTGTGCACCCTGGGTCACACGACACACATCAACACGGTAATCAAACTCATCCCATCCAGCGCTGTGGAAAAACACGATTGAGAAGCACTCATACATACCTGTGAAAATGAGCTCCGTCCAGTTGTATAATGTAATCGTCATAATTGGTATTGAGTTGGGGTAACAACCAGCTTTCCAACATGTCCAAAAATGAGTCGCCAGTCACAGTTGCACCATTCTTTTGTGTATACTCTGTATAATTCACGGCATTGTGTAATACTAGTTATTTTTCCTACAGAGATGCCAGCGATGTCTGCTGAGGTGCAGGAAGAGCTGCTACCTATGCAGGGACCGCCCCTCGGCTTCCAGAACCTACGTCTGCGGCGTCAGAGTATTCGAGTGACGCGGCACAAGAAGGGCTTAAAGGGCCCTCTGCGGGCCTTACGGCTATGTATCCTCAGTGTGCTGTTACCGGGGCTCCTGGTCGCTGTGCCCCTCTACATGCGCTTCCACGTCTATGGGGAACAGCTCTACCCTGTAGGCATGTCTGACATGCGAGTCCTGGACAACAGGATGTCTACCACGTGGTGCCAGGTGAGTTTTGCTTTGGAATAACAATTGTGTTACACATGAGGGGTGCTCCCTTCTTGATTTGTTCTGTCTTGTCCTTTCTTCTTCATTGTTTATTGTCCAGTGAAAGGATTGCAGTTTTCCAGAATCTGAGTTTCAATATTAATGTGGATATGGAAGAAGTATGACTGACAAGGTCATTGTGACGATGGAGATTGAAGTTGCAGCAGCAACAGCGGATGTTCTGTTAACTTTCTTGTGCACAGGAGGAGGGGGTGTGTCTTTCGTATTTTGTGATGTACGGGGTGAATTTTGATCGTTTTTATGTTTTGCAGTTCAGCTCAAAGTTATACAATTTTACAAGAAAAGTCAGTGTTTATTTCATACTGCAACAGGTTTTTGAGCTGGCGACCTTCTTGAAAGGGACATGCCAGAAACGCTGTCGCCAACATTTCTTTTTTCCTTAATCCTACGCTTTATTCCGGTAGTCAGCAGCCTGCGACCCGCGGGCCGCATGAGACCCTCTCAACCTTCTTATGTTGCCTGTCACATTATTTAGGAATCAGCCATTGCGACAAGGGCAACAATTTTTTGAAACTGACGAGAAAAATAAATAAAGTACGTTATATGCGTAAAGGCAAACAGTCTCAAATAAAATTATTTTAATGGAACAAAAATTGTGTAGATGTAGACTTATAACGTTCCGTTCTTCAAGCCACATAAAGTTTAAAAGAATATAAAAATTTCTGTGGTATTAAAACTGAAGTTTTATAACTACGACTTGAATTGAAGCTGTTTGAATGCTAACAAACAAGGCGTTAACAATAAACTTTTAAAGCCTCCTTTTCTTTATTCTTTAGTTTATTGTTGTGACATTAGTTTCTTTTATTTCTGCATTTATTTTCTTCTTTGTAATTTGATGTAATCCTTCGGTAGCAATCAGTATTGCACAATTCCTGGAATAATATTTTAAAGAACAGAACGTCTTTCAGTAATGCTTGATTTTGTCGTCATTGTTCACTGCAATAAAAGTACAAAATGGAATTGCACCTGAAACTAAATGGTTATTGGAAAATAATAGGGAACTTAAAGACGAAGGCCGAATATTTAAAGAACAATGGACAAAAGATTCCTACGTCACCTATAAGAATGGTAAGCCCACAAATCTTATTTGCAAAGGTGCATTGTCAGTTCTAAAGGAGAACAATTTGAAACGTCACTACGAACATATGCAAAGCTCGAATCCTACATAGAGCAGCAACACGACTGTTTTACTGGTCAGCTAAGAAATAATAAAATTAACTCTGTGAAATATTCTTTATATCACCGACAACAAATGTTTAAAATTCTTTGCAAATCAAACTAGATCTTGGGTTCTTTCCAGTTACTGTGTGACTGACAGTTAGCTAAGAAAGGAAAATATTTCACACATGATGTGTTTGACATTTCGTGTATTTTGGCAACTGTTGAAGAACAGTTTTGAAAAAAATTAAGCTATTTCAAGACATTATTAGTCTTTCAACGCGTGCAATGACGCAACGAGTAAAAGATTCGGGGACCAGTTAACACGAACGCTTGAAAGAAAAAGCAGTTATTTTCTTTACTGTTTGCTAGCTATGGATGAAACTAATGATGTCTCAGGTTCTGCTGAACTCTTAAAATTCATCTGTGGCATATATGACATATTTTTTCTCCAAGAAGATCTCGCATCCGTTTCAAGTTTGCATTGACTGTTCGTGAAAGTGAACGAAATTTTCATTCGTTATGAATAAAATGGAGAACCTTAAAAAGTGTAACAGCTTACAGAAGAATAGAAGATTTGTAAAACTCGCGTTATTGCTCGAATTATCAGTGAAGTGATGCAAGAAAACTCTCTGCCTCAGATGACGTTTTAGCAGGTCCTCTACAGTAAACTTCTGAGGTAAAATACGGCCATGGAGGTCGTATTTCTAACGTGCTAATATTATTTAATTTGGTAGCAGAAATTTACATATTAATGAATGAGAAAAACATATAATTACCTGAACTATCAGATGCAGGTGCAGTTTCAGAGCTAAAATATCGCTTCTAAATAACCTTAATACGACGCTTCAGACCAAAGGAAAAGTTTTCCCTGACATATTTTCTGGCATCGTACTCTCGAAATGAAATGAAATTTTTTTAATAAGCATGTTGATGAACAAAAGCTGGTATACTTTCATTCCTGCAAAAAACTTATATACATTTGTAAATATCTGGAAAAAATTAAAGTTTTGTATGTCAAAAGGAAAAAAATTCCAGAACTTATCCAACTGCTTCATAACAAATTCCAATAAAGGTTCAATAACATTTCACTTTTATTCTTATGAAATTCTTCTCTTTCTAAGATCTATAAAAATAGAATTTTAAGTTATCACGGCGGTTTCCATCATCAGAGCACGCCCTGATGATGGAGGCAGCAGCGGCCTCTGAAGCGCTGGTAACCGTCTACCAGACTACACGATGCTCCAACCCAGAGGAGAGCCATCTATCTTCCTTCTAAAGTAGATATCAATGAAGCTGTCGATATACTTCAGATGGATGTTACTGAACTTATTAAGTGCTGAAGAATGATTTCAAACCACAAGAACTGATCCTGGACTGTCTTCCGAAGTCTTCCCAAAAATCAGGAAATTCTCTGCAGGTGATAACAATATTGTTTCCTTTTTCGCTTTATGAATAACAAGTTTGTTTCAAGTTAACAGATGAAAATCTGCACTAGCAACTGATAATTATCACAACGAACTTAAGCCAAATATAGACATAAATAAGTTACTAACTAACTAGATGGCTTAGTGAGTCAAAAGGTTAATCACTGAATTAACAAAAGCCCTCCACCGGTCCCTGTCCTGGGCCAGCAAAATCCAATCGCCTTCAACTTCTATCTCCCATAGATACAGCTTGATAACCTCCCATCTACGTCTAGGTCTCCCCAGAGGTCTCTTCCCCTGAGGCTTCCCGACCAATACCCGGTGCACACCTCTTGTCCCATCCATACGCGCTACATTCCCCGCCCATCTCATTCTTCTGCACTTAATCACCCTGACAATATTGGGGGAGGAGTTCAAATTTTTAAGCTCATCATTGTGCAGTTTTCTCCATACTCTTCTCTCCTAGGCCCAAATATCCTCCTCAACACCCTGTTCTCAAACACCTGCAATCTGTGTTCCTCCCTCAGAGTGAGGGACTATGTTTCGCACCCATACAAAACAACAGGCAAGATTATTGTTTTGTATACTTTATTCTTGAGGTTCTTAGAAATCAGACGGGAAGACAAGATATTTTGAACTGAAAAGTAGCAAGAATTTCCGGGATTTAGTCGCCTCCTAATTTCTATATGAGTATAATTTTGATTTGTTATTGTTGTTCCCAAATATTTGAACTTTGTCACACTCTCAAAAGAATTATTATCCACCCTAACATGATTTTTTCCGCCTGTCTGCTGACGAGATACTAACATGCTCTTAGTTTTTTATGAATTTACTTCTAGCACAATCTTTCTACTAGCAAAACTTCTGTGTACTTCTTTATTGTATTTATATCGTCACAGAATGAATTAACATCATCAGCAACAGCTGATGTGCCCCATTCAATTGCAAACCCTCCTGCCTATCTTGGACTTTGCTGATGGCGTATTCTAAAGCAAAGTCAAATACCAATGGAGAGAAAGCATCTCCTTATTTCAGACAGTTCTTGATGGAAAATTAGTCAGATAAATATTTACGTGTACGAATTTTGCTACAGGTTTCAATTAAGCACATTTTTATTAGACTCCTTAGCTTTATTTGTATACCAAATTCAATGAGAATATTGTATGACACTTCTCTCCTAAGAGATTCGAAGGCCCAAAAAGAGACAAATTTTTAGGAAACTTTATTCCGCAAATATCATGTTTCTCCTTAGCTTTGGAAGTTGGACACTTAATTGTTGGAAACTGTGCCACGTTTGAAATTCATTTTCTGAAAATATGGTGAACTAATACATTTCTCAATTGTTTCAAATACATTTTACGCACAATTTTCTTTCCTGAAAATTGGCATTTTAAAGTTTAGACTGTATTCAGTTGTATGGAGAAATGCCGGAATTGTCCGTTTCCAAGTGATTGCCAGCTGTGTTCTTTAAGTTAAAGAAACGCAGTTCAGCTTTCTGTCGAAAACATTAATTTTTCTGCGGCTCTCGACAGAAATATGCAATGCCAATGCTGCCCGCGGTAATGAAATGTTTTCCCGCCCGCACTTTATTCTATACTTTTATTTCTGAACGAAACTCTACTTCATTACAGTGCTTTCTAATGGCTGTTACAATAAAACCAGCAACTGTATTTTAGTCGTTAGTGCACAGAGTACACTGCGGTCAGTGGCGCCATGTGTCCATACCAAGAGCTTGATAGTAGACCAGCCATGATACTTTAATAGGCTGCGCCAGACTGCATAACAAATTCGAAGACTTTAAACGTTCACCTTGTGAGATTTGAGGTCCTCACAGCGGTGAGTATGACGGTGTTGTTTGGGGTTGACGTCGTGAAGACTCGTACGTAGATACCGAAGTTCTAGACAAATTTTCTGTCTCCATCTTCAGGGCTTAAACTTTCACCTTGTGTAAGTTATTCCTCGCGCGTTCTAAGACGCCAGCACCGGGATCGTCGGTTAGAATTTCACTCGAGACTTTGTGCTGTCCTGTTGTGGGGAGATCTTGCCATGGGCTGCTTCCACGTCCAAGGATATTGCCAAATGTCTAAAAGGTTCACAGTTTTATTAAATTAATTCTGAATTGGAACACGTCAGAGGGCTTGATCCCTAAAAGCTGAAGAAGCTATTTCTTTATTCCTCAGTTGTGTGAGTGCGTGTGAGGCTTCATAAGTTGAATGCTCAGAAGCCAAATGACGAGACATCTCTTCCCAATTTGTAAGATGCATGATATCGCAGTGTTGAAACCCGGTCATAGACAGATGAGCTAAAGGTCCATAATCGTGAGACTGCGTGAATTCTTTCCACGTAATTACTTCTGACTTCCCTGACCTTGGTGAATTACATAAGTGTATCTGGACTCCCAAGTCTTGGAACTAGATATAGTCACGTGTGTTTACACAATTGAATGCAGCTACCATTATTCGCGAGTCACATAAATATTTAATTTATTCATGACGCTGTGTCGGTCCGCGACAACCAGAATAAAAATAATGGAACCAATTTATATTATATTTAAAGATGGCTGTCTTGAGTTTTAGTGCCGTGTAGTCTGGTGGAAGTTTACCAGTGTTCTGGAGGTACGTATTATTTCCGTCAACAGACGATGAAGATGAAGGCAGCAAGTACCTCGAACGTGGGTAATCTTTTGCAGGATTTGAGATTTTCACGGCGGTGAGTCTGAAGATGGCTGTCATCGCCTTTATGATAGATGCAGCAAGGGCCTGTGAAACGTCAGTAAACTTCTACCAGACTACACGGCGCAACAACCCAGAAGACAGCCATATTCTGGGTAATCTTTTACCAGACTGCATGGCTCTAAAACTCAGAGACAGCCATCTTCATACTATCCACCACGAGAACCTGATATCCTACTAGATTATATTTGGTATGTTAGGCCTACACTAAATTTCTTTGTGGCACTTTTTTTTAAATGTAATAGACATTATTTATTTTAAAAACTACTTTAATTACAGATGGAAGGAAAATAAGGGGTTCATATGTAAGATTCAGGTATGAGATTTATTAAAATGGGCCTCATAAGAGCAGGGAATGCCTTGGCCAGCTTGAACGGCGACTATCGACTTGAGGGAGATCGTGTGCCATGTGGTCCGTTAGGATGTGTTGGGGAGGTGGAGTAGAGCTTAACGCATTTAAACCTTAGAGGGGGATTTCTTTAGTCATTAGTTACACGGACAGGCCATGCTACTTCCGTGGAAAGAGCATTGTATAGAAGACTAGAAAAATCCAAAGTTTTGTTTTGATATGATGTCGTGTGGAAAAGTCCCGGACCCTGTCGACAATCGAACTCCAACCTTCCAACCTGCAGCCAGGTACTTACCGACTGAAGTATCCCTTGCCGGTTGACGAAATGCGTGATCCTATGAGAAAGTCACCCGTGCGACAAGGTCAAATACAGACCTGGTCTACGTTACGACACTAGTGACAGTGCATCAGAAACATGATATAGATTTTTTTAATACAAAGAATATACATCCTGTTCACACGGTCATTAGAAACACCTTTCGTTTGTTCGGACTGACTTGGTCTGCGTGTGTTTTTGTTTTCTGTAATTCATGGTATCTTTGCATTACCGACACAGCTGTGTTAAACATTTCTCAGCCCGGCAGTGTTTTCTTTTCCATGCGTTGCAATGCCAAGGATAATGTTTAGCTGCTGGCATTGGCTCTTGATTGCAATATGACAGACAGCCTGGTAGCGTTTCCCACGTTGCCTGATACTTCAACACTCGCTCGGCTGATACCTCCATCTGTGAGTTGGACCATGTACCACTTGACATTGGAGTGTTCTCAGAAGTTCTGCTGTGTCCATTTTCAGCTTTATCTTTGTATGGAGCTTCAATCGTTAAATGTGAACAAAAATGTTTTGGAAGAAAACAGCTGTGGAAAGGTGTACCTTTATTTGAAGTTGTTTTCTTTCTCGGTCGTGATAGCTTAAGCGGTTATTCGCCTCACCGCGGAAACCTAGTTTCGCGTCCAGGATAGGCCTTGAGGGTCTTGCGGTGGACAAGGTGGCATTGGGATAAGTTTACTCCGAATCGATCGGTTTTCCCCTCTAATGTAAGTATCATTCCAGTGATGCTTATACGAGGTGCGATCGGAAAGTTTCAAGACCGTGTCAATAGAGGGCGAACCGGATGTAGTACGAGCTTCTGCCTTTAGGGGGTGCGGCCTACATTCATAGTGAATCAGTGTGCCAGCCGGCATCATCGAATTAGCATTTGTTTCTTAGTTACGGGCGTTTTGGTAGTGCATTACACCGACCCTCCTGCGATTTCGGAATGGCGTGTGCATCAAATGTTGCCAAAG